ATATAAAATATAATTCAAACAATGCATATATTCTTCCAAAACCAAAAGGCTCAAGATTTACCATATAGCTAATTGGGCTGGGTCCCAAAAGAGACAATAACATTTCAAGCCATGGTGACCCAACAACTCAACGCTGCTCAGTATGTGTGTCTAGATACAGAAGAGGCTGAAAAAAGGACCTTTTGTTCCCATCACACTGAAACCATTTGGAATGTGGGATCTGAGGTACCAAACATTTTTAGGAACGGTGACTCAGCCCATTTTGAAAAGGGGAGTACTAAGGAGAGTGTGGCTAGGGAGTTCTTTTCCTCCTTGCATGTTATGTGAAACTCCCTACCCCAACCAGCACAGTCACCCTTATGTACAGGTCAAAGGACATTACTCTTGTCTACGCTCCATTCAAATACACTTCTCAGGCTCTCTAGGACAGCCAGAAATGATAGCAGCTTAGTCAGTTCATATATTCCTCTATAGTAGAGACACGACCCTTTTCAAAAGCCCCTCAGTTAGCATATTATGATAAGGGGAAAGGCCCCCTGCATCATCTCTCCTTGTAATGCTGTCAGGTGAGGGAGAACCATCATTTTGCCCTTACAATATTCCTATATTTTATACTAGATAGATATGTTTACGGGCTTCTGTGAAATGGATGTTCACTCATATGTACAGCATGATTCAGTGAATCTAGACAAAGTGTGTTTGCAGTGACAGGACCTGATATCTAAGATCGTTTTTGACAAAATTGGACATGACTGAAACTCTTGAAATAAACAGCACTACAAATCACACTGGGAATGAATTGGAGCCAGAAGCTGTGTATGATTCTCTTGGGTTAGACTCAGCTTAACTTTACTAACAGTATAATATCCCTTCTACCTTGACTTAAGGTTGCTTGCTAACCTTTGAAACACTAGTTAAGGAAACCCAGGAAAAGGTGTGGGAAAAACTGTTTTACTAGCATTCTTGCAGAATGAAATCTGTGTCCGTTCAGAAGGCCATCATGAGGTCCATATACCACCTTACTCCTACTTTCGCCCTCCTTTGAGAAATTTAGTGGAGAAGTCTTACATGGGCCCTTTTAACAGGGCTGAACATTAAACCTGAATGCTCAAATATTCACCAGTGGCAAAGTTTTGTGTGGTAGCAAACTTTGTCTTGCTACTTTGTTGGTTAGTTTCATAAAATATTCAATCAGGGAGGAAATTTAATGTGTGCGTTAATTAGGTTGCTAGACAGCACAGTGCAAATGTTGAATATTTACTTCAAATTCTTCATGATTAAGCTACAGTCAAAAGATTATTTGACAAAAATACATGGATCACGTTCAATAGGGAATAAATCTGATGAATTTCTGATCTTCTCACTGACAGTTTGTGAGCAGTAAATAAGGTGAAATTATTGAGCAAATTAGTCATTGCTGATTATTCACTCACTCTAGTTAAAACATCTTCCTTCTGTTTGTGGGTTTAAAAAGAACTTAGTAGAAAAATGCATGCAGCCAAGTGAGTTGGCCTGATTGTTCTCATGTAATCTCTGCAATTTCAAGTTCCTCTTGAGAACAGTGATTCAGAAAGCCATATGTGTTTTCTGAGTTGGTACTTGGAAAAATATGATAGTTTTCTGTGTGAATGTGAGTTCTGGGGGCTTGTTTGTTTCTGTTCCTTATAATAAGGAATGTATTACTTGATATAGGAAGGAAAATGTGATTCCTCTCTACACATATGAATATCTCTTGAAATCAATGCAGTTGCCTGGACTTACAAATCAGCTTGTGGGTTTATTTACAAGTAGCAAAATTGGGTAATTTGATAGTTCAGCTTATTAAGATTTTCTTCCAACTCCCATTGTTTGGTTTCAGTAACATGAATGCCTTTTTTACTGTGTATTTTTTTTTGAGAACCTACAGGGTTTCAGCCATGCAATCCCTGATTCCATCCTGAATCTTTCTACTAGGTAAGTCATTAGATCTGGAGTTGCCCAGTGGTGTGTATCCACGGAAAAGGAGAAGGTGGGAAAATACTGTCTTATTGGATCTGGTTTGCCATTCCTTTAAAAATACTGATAGGTGGAATATCTCTTCAGGGTTTTATGTATTCCTGCCTTTATGCCAGACTTGACCCATGTATACATAACAATTATCAGCATCTCACTTACAGCTCTTTAGGCTCTATCTTCTGCATTCTTTTGCCCAGTGGTGCACTATGACTGAGGAAATCCGTTGATAAAATCTCTCAAGTGGACAGCGAAATTTGCAGCCTGGCAGAGTGAGTGGAACAGGATCTTTCAAAGAATTATTCCGATAATACATTTCAATGGTGTATTGCCTAAGTCAAAACACATAGATATAAATATAAGGTTAGTTATACATAGCTGCACAGTTTTTTCTTTGGAGTTGCAGCTGTTAGATGCAATTTCATGGACTTATCTCAAAGATGAGTTTGGGCCACTTTTTAACTGCATAGCATGTCCAGTGGTTTCAGTTAATAGGACAAATAGCACTTTCTTATCAAAGATTAAAATTTAGCACATAAGTCCACATGTCCCACTAGTAATAGGAACATCACTGGTAGACTACACAAGTGTATTTTACCTCAGGAGTGAATGTGAACCTATATTCTAACATTTAAACTAGCATGGCACAGGGAGGATACAGGGGACAGACCCCGAGGGGCCAAGGGGGGCCCCTGGGCCAGAACATAACAGGGAAGGCAAGGAGAGAGAGGAAAAATCGGAGAATCCCTTACCTGCAGCTGGTGCTGCGGCGAAACTGGAAGTAGCGGCGGGACCCACGCGGCTCATTAGCCGCGTTTTTTTAAAACTGCAGCCAGCTGTGGAGAGGAGCGGGAGGAGCTGGCACGGAAGGATAAGAGGCGTCGCAGGCGAAGGAGCAGGGGGAAGACCGGAAGATGTGTCAATAGAGAAGGTATCCCTGGAACCCCGATTAGGGGTAAGAGGAGGCAGAACTGCCTCTCACGGGGCAGAAGTCTGCCTTGAAGCCCGTCATAGGGAAGACGCCAGCGACAGCACAGAGAGAGAGAGGAGGTGGATGCATCTCACTAAGATGGAGGATTCGAGGGAGAGGATCCAAGAAATCAGGAGGAAGAAGGTGACAACAGGGATTGCCCCCATGGAAGAGGGGAGAGTGACGGCACTCAAGGCATCGAGCCAGGTCGGATTGGTGTGGGTTCGGAAAGGCTCCAGGAGCAACCCCAGGTGGGGAACGGAGAGCCTAAGCAGCTGGAGGGGTGGCAGAAGACAAGCTCCAGCTGCATAGAGCTGCCCGGCGTGGGACACAGAGTAGGCAGAACTAGAGGGACCACCAAGGGTCCAACTAACACGCAGGTGGTCCACAGTATGGAAGGGAGAATGTGATAGCTGCCAGGCATATGCTTACACAGGATAGGGCCAGCTAGGAACTCTTGGGGCCAGGTTAGCCCATTTTGTATAGTCAGGAGCCTACTGGTATTAATAGTATTCTTTCTTTTGTTTCTTTCTGTTTCCCACCTTTGGAGGGGTTGGGAGGCCTGTCACATAGAGCCCTAGGGTTGGGTCAATCAGAGGAAGGGTTTTGTCTTAGAGGGAATCGAGATAACCATGTAGACCCATAAAGGTATAACTCATATTTGGGGGTTGGGTTAAACCTAATACATTTCCACAGGAGAGCCCAGAACACCAATAGGTGGGGGTCGGGCTGAGAGACATCAGCGACTCGTCGAGGCTGGGTATCAGGGCAAGGTGTAGGGGAGGTTGGAGCCTCACGGAAGACTGCCGTCTAGAGGTCCCAGACATGTGCGAGCCCCAGTAGTTGGACCCCACCACTGAAGGACTAAACAAAGTCGTGGCAGGAGAGATTGGAGAAGAGACTACCCCAGGGCAGGACATCCATTCAGCAAGACCACAGGTATAGAGTGACGGACAGCCCTATACATCCAAAGCTGGGCAGCACGTGACCGGATGATTGAAGCCTGACAGGTGCATAGCACTTATATAGATATGGAGATTATTAAGACTTATTTGTATTTGCCACTTAATTTAATCTTCCTTCTATATGCACAGGTGGTTTCTATTGTACATTTTGTTTGGTTCAATTTTAACAACTTGTTTTGAAGCTTCAACTTCTACAGCATCTTCAGCTTTGGAGTGTGTTTATATTCTCTGAGTTTATAATGGGGATATTGTTCTGCGGGGAGGTACTTTCAAAAGGACCTATGGATCTTAGATGTTTAAGACCTACTGACTTTCAATGAGGCTTGTCCTTCTCTGTCCCTGACAAGCTTTTGCCCCCTCCAGCCAAAGGGCTTGGACTGTGTTTTTGTTTTTGGTCTTCTGCCTTCTGTTTCTTCCAATTGCTTCTAGTTACTCTTTCTTTCACAGTTGCCATGGTCCTAGCTGCTGAACTCTTCCAATATTGCAAAGTGTCAGCGTTAAATGGAACACTGTATATAAGAGAAACTGTTTATTATATTACATATAGTATACCTGAATTAGCAGTAATCACGTCTTGTAACATTTGCACCTTTCTCCATAATTCTAGAGGACCTTCACGTACAAGAATTTGGAATGGTGCAGTAGAGAATAAATTGATAGGTATGTAGGACAAATAGTGGTTATGTAGGACAAATAGTGGTCTGCCACATGGTTCTGCTCCTTCCTGGTCCCCCTTCATCTCCTGTCTCTTACCTGCCACAACTTTGATCTTGTTTATTGTTGGGAGGGAGGGATCCTTGGGGGTCAGTAGCAGCCTCATGGGTAGCTTGGTCCATTCAGCCAAACCAACCTCCCACCTGGGTCCTTTCCCCTCCCTCAGTGTTTCCCCCTTTAAGGGAATGCTCCTGTAAGTCTCTGTGGGCTTCTTGGAGCTTCAGCTATCACAGCCTGGGCCTTCTTTTTCTCTCTGGCTGCACCCTCCATCTTGGTCCACTGATTAAGACCTTAGCTCCTGGGTATTGGCTCTGCCTTGATGGTAGCCCCTCCTGGGGTTTCAATCTCACTATGCCAGCCTCTTTCCCTTGGCCTGGGGCTAACCTCTGGCCCCTGTAGCAGAGGAGCATATCCTAACACCCCTGTTGGTGGCTTTCTCCAATTTTGTAGCCGCAACCCAGTTGTCCAATCTCAAGTCCAAAGTGAAATAAAACCAATTAACCAAAAACCAGCCTGTGCTTAAAACACATTGTCTTCTTTCCTCAGGGTAAATGTTGCCTGCAGGCAACACCAGAACCTTCCAATCTCCAGGTCCCTTGGGCAGCTTGGGTGCCTGCTTGCTCATCTTTAATAGCTCCTCTCTCTCGGGAGCTCCTTTTCCTGCTGCAAGCACGGGCTGTGTCCTTGCATTCCCAAAGACCAGGCTTACATTCCCCAGCCCAGCCTCCTTTCAGCCATGTGATTGGATCTTCTGTCCACCAGGGACCAAATGCCACTAACTGCTTCATCAGCTGCCTGGCCTTTTAGTCCTTGATTTGGTCCACTTGTGCCCCTGCTCTCTTTCTACCCTTCCTACTAACAAGGTCAAGGGTTCCCTGTTACAGTTAATATTTTTAATAATGACCCTGGCACCAAAAAAGATGGGAGTGTGCTAATCAAATTTGCTAATTAAAAAAAGTTGGGGGAAGTTTGGTGCCCCTGGTGTTTTCTGATGCCTAGAAAATGGTATGTAGAGGTTTGCTTTTGGGACTTAGCTTGTAGGTAAAGTAAAGTAGATATGCATTAGAACATGGAATGGTCCAGGGAAATGGCAGGGGTCAATTGGTTTCTAAAAAACCTGTTTGTGACAAAGTTTCCTTCAAGACCCACTGTTTCTGAAGCCAGTAGACACACAGGCTAGGAAATTGAAGACATACCACATTGTTCCATAAGATGAGATGGGGTAGCACTAAGTTACAGTGCCCAACTGCAGAACTCTTGGGATTTCTGGTTTTGGTGGACAGACCAAATCCAGATGTGTGCATGATTTGTGGGAAATCAAGGAATATGCTGGCAGGAAAGAATGTGGACAGTATGAGGACCACAGGGAAACCAATCAATGATACCTGGGAATGAAGAGTCCTCAGAACAGAGAAGAATACACAAGGAAGGATTTCAGAGCAGCAGTGTCTCCAAGTGGGGTACCCAAGGCCACTATGGGGCATACCACCAGCCCATCTCACCCAACCCACTGTGTGTGGGGGGGGGGGGGGGGGGGG